AAGACCATGTGACCATTTCACCTGGTCTGATATGCATGTGATTTACTTGTGCCGATGTTGCTTTCAATTACTTATTTTCTTAACACTATAAATCTTATATGTACTGAACTTTATGAGAAAATGGAAGAAGACACAGAGTCTAGTAAAAAAAAGCCATGTTGTGAAATTGGCTGTCATCGAAGGGACTTGGCATGGCCCTAGAATCCATCAGGGTGCAGGATCTCAGGTGGCTGGAGAAATGCATTCAACAAAACTGCTCTGAGAGTGGTGATATAAGATGGAGTAATGGAATTGACATTTTGTGCTAAGTAATGTTTTGAAATTAGGTACCACGTTACCATTGTGTTTCTAAATTGACAGTCATTGGGCAACATTCCATATTTCTCTAGTTTATGTCTTAACTGAGCTGGCTGGGAACATATCAAGAGTCACAGCTTCAAATTGTTATAATATGCTGCTTGCCACATTATGGTTATGACAGAAGTACTTTCATTACTTTTCAAGGCTTATAATTTTTCTTTCAAATTACCTCTTTGAGTTGACATTTCTCTTAGGTATAATCTACCCTAAGATTAAATTTGGTTAACCCCTTCATAGTTCAGTATTTAAAGTAGTTAAAAATCTTTATGCACTTTTTTATATTCAAGGTTAATACAGGCCTTGTTAATTTTAATTTCAAGAAATCTTCAGAGGTTTTATAGGGACTTTAGCAATAAATTTAGAAAACAGTTTTTAAAATAATATACAGTATTTTCATGAATAAAAATATAGCACTTCTGAGATATTCCAAAAAGGACCTAATTTAGTCTAGTGCCTGAAATTTGGAAGTCATTTTTTTCAATCATGGATCTTATAAGGATAGCTCAATGGTTGGGCTTGATGGGAGTCTGTTGTCAGTGGGTAATGGAGAAGGGTACCCTGGGTCTAAACACCTATGAGAGACTGTTCTGCTCCCCTCTTTCAAGTAACCTGCCTCACACATCACCCCATGCACTAGGTCTGCAGACAGTGGTTCTCAAAACTGGCAAAGTTAAAGAAATCACCTGGTGGCCTTAAAAAATTCACATTTTCAGGCTATAGCTATAGAGAATCTGAGTTGGTAGGTAAAGGAGATAATGACCTTGGCTATGGGGATCCCTCTTTCTAGCTTCTCTCCTGTCTTTGACACACTTGCTGACCGGAACACACCAGTCCACCCAAGATATGGCACAAATGGAGCAACACTTGAGATAGTGGCAGAACAATGTGGATAGATTAGAAGAAAGAGGGCACACAGAGGCTACCCCCACAGCTGGAGGTGAAATAGAGACGGTTTAAGAATGCCCATTGCTGAGCAGGTGACAAAAAGCATCTCTGTGGCCTCCTATTATATTCTACAGACTACCAAGACAGTTTCAACCTTAAAATACTCCCCTCTTTTGCCATACCTATCCTGTGACTGTGTGTGTATCTGGTGGTGGAGGGGGTAGTGGTGGTGGTAACGTGTGTATGTGTATGTGTTCGTGAGTTTGCTCTTCTCTTCAGTTTGTATAGCCAGTTAAATAGAAAGGGAGAGAGAAACATATAGACAAAGAGAGAGAGAGAGAGACATGGACACTTCTGGCAAATTATAAGACAGAAAAGACACATTTAGGAGGAAACAAGAGAAAAACACATTTTGAAAAAGGTATGTGAAGCAGTTCCTGATGGATGGAGAGTAACAGTATTTTTTCCCTTAGATCGGAAGATACCCTGATTGCTTAGTACATTTGTATCTCTGTTTCTCAAGTGAATGGCTTTATTTATAAAGACTGATGGCATCATCGTTGAAGATGATCAGTCATTCAAATGCCTTTCTCACTGGGGAACCCCTGTTGTTCATTCTAAATTAAACCAAGAAAGTCTTGAATAATTATCATTTAATCAACAAATATTTATTGATGAGACTAGTAGCCACATTGAATTTATACCCTGATGGGGATACAGATAAATAGGCAATGATACCACCAAGTGGCAAGTGCTATGATGGGCACGTACAGAAGAAAGGGGGCAACAGAAGAGAGTAATTTACCCCATCTTGGGGAATGAGGGAAGGCTTCAAGAGAGAGTGAGACCACAAATTGTGTTCTGATGGATGAAAGGGAGCTAGCCAAAAATGACCAAGAAATTGAATGTGCCAAGGAGTGGAGATAAGAAAGCATGACCCCATATCTGAAGAACTGAAAGCGGTCCTGAATGGCTACACTGAAGCTGGCAAGAGACAAGACTGAAGAGTGAAGTGGGGGCCAGGTCATGAGGGATCTTCTGCATCATAAAATGGAGTTTGAAAGTTACATTGGGTGGCCCATTTTATATACAGATGTCATATTTAGCCTTCTTTATCTTCTTTTTATCACAGATATCACAATAGCATGAGGTATTGCCTTTCTGTTTGTCACAAATAAATAGGAACTTTCAAAAGCAAGTATCTGTGTTGAAAAGGGTTAACCTAGAAGTTTTCTATCCATAGTAAGTCTTGTTTGCAATGTTGGTCTTTAGCTGGCTTCTGGGAACTTGACTGATATACAGTTCCCTACATTGATAGAAAACTTGCCCTAACAGAGAAGGGTGGCTCAGTGTGTCTGGACTATACAAGTAATATGGTTTATGCTGAAAACCTACTTTCCTTCTGGGACTCTGGAATTTTGATACATGTTAGGCAGAGGGTGCCTATGTGACCAGCCCCTAATGACAATGTTTAGGAATTCCTAGGCAGAAACATCAGATGTACATTGCTGCATTTTCATAGTGGGGGAAGAGTGTGTTCTGTGTGACCCATCATGAGATGGAGAGAATATAGGAAAGCTGCACATGGATTCCTCCAGACTCCACCTATCTTTTCCCCTTATTATCCCCTGTGTATATATATATATATCCTTACTACACCACTGTGATAAATCTTAGTTGTGAGTACAGTTACGTGCTAAGTTCCATGAGACTTTCCAGCAAATCTTCTAACGCAGAGGATGTCTTGACAATCTCTAAAACACATGCTATGAATTTTTACTTATAAATGTTTATTGAATGAGTACAAAAAAAATGACCTATTATGAGGTGAAAGTATCTGTGTCCTTATTTTGTATTTGTATAATAATTTTTAACCAAAATTTGTCTAACTTAGTTTGATTTCCCATCATATTTCCCATATTCTCAAACTTGGCCTAAATGACTTTTGATGTTTGCCTTCAGATGGCAGAGATGTGTTTGCTTTGAGGACAGTCAAAAGAAAGAGCTACTGGCTCTAAGGGCAATTTTAAATCAGGAACTCCAGAAAGCATTTGAGTAATTGACATGTGTCCTTGGAATGTTTATAGTGTCCCAAGGTGATTCTTTTTATCTTTTAACACTTACTGTATTGTGCAGCTCCTGGTATGCCAAAGTCAACTCTGTTGTTGTAGTGCTACACCCTAATGCAGACAGTCTTTTCTCACATTAAAAATGCATAAGTCAGACAGAAAAAAAACTGAGAACCATACGATTTCACTGATATGTGGTATATAAACTGAAAACAACAAAGGAACAAGACAAACAAACAAAGAAACAAAAACTCATAGACACAGACAATAGTTTAGTGGTTACCAGAGGGTAAGCGGGGAGGGGGGTGGTAGGTGAGGGTAAAAGGGATCAAATATATGGTGATGGAAGGAGAACTGACTCTGGGTGGTGAACACACAATGTGATACATAGATGATGTATTACAGAATTGTACACTTGAAACCTATGTAACTTTACTAACCATTGACACCCAAAAAAACTTTAAAAAATGCATTAGTATTTATTGAAGACTAGCCATGGACTAGATACATTTTTACAATTCACATTGGGAACTTCTACTTGAGGCTTGCCTTCAAATAATTTATTTTTAAGCAATTCAAAGAAATTTTGGACTTTTTATGAACTGAAGATCCTACCTGAAAGAACTTATAACCAATTAGGAAATTGTTGGGGTTTTTTTACAGGCTTCATCTTTATTTTTGTAAAGTCCTTGGAGCTCTGTTCTTCTTAACAGAGTAACTGACAGTGGTGTAACCCCTTTGAGCAGTCCCCCTTGGATAAGTTTTATACTTCCTTTCCATCATCTTTGTCTCCCTCTGGACTGAGGTAGGGTTGTAAAAATGATGGGTTTAGTACCCCGGCTTTCTATTTGGCCTTGTAGTCCTTCAAGGTATCCTTTTCTGGAACCCAGCTGATAAAGAGTGCTACCTCTTAAGCATGGCTGGGCTTGTTTCTGATATTCATTTCTTGTGTAATTGGACAGGATTTACAGTTCGTAAGTGGATTGTAATATAGAAGGCTCCTAGAGTTGTTAGTATATAGTAACACAGTGATTTCCCAACAACTGCAGTTCTACAAAGGTAGTTTTCTTCATAGGCTATTTACACTGTTTCCTCCCATTTTATTGCCTTCCCATCCTTTATTTGTCTCTTTTCTTCTCTCTTTCACTTATCACATCATCAGACTCCTCCTCTCAGCTGGCCATTAACACTTATTTTGATACTTATTTCACTTACAGAATGAAATTTTATGTTTCTTGGTCTGAATTTTCAAAGCAAATGAGATTATTTTTATTGTATTTCTCTGTTTGCAATTATTTCATGGAATTTTTTTATTCATGCAGGCCTAAGCTTTTTTTGTTAGGTGTGCACAGGGGCATTGTTTCATTTGACTTGGTTTTGTCCTTCTGGGTCAATAGCTTTAATGGAAAGTATATTTTCTATTGCTGATGTAAGTGTACTTAGAATCAGTTAGTGATCAACAGAATGCAGGCTGTTCAGGTATCTCTTTGTACCTAGAGGCCTGCTTAATGATGTATGTGAGTGTGGCAAGATTTGCTGGTGTTGGTTAGGTCATTATATTTAGAAGAAAAGTTCCTGAAGCTGCTGGTAGTAACCATCATCACCTGGTAATCTGCTTATTTTCTTCTCCAAGACGTGCTGTTATTGCATCTTTTACAGTGTGGCCTTTGCTGTTTTCTATTTTAGTTTTCCAGAGAGATGGTCATTCAGAGCCTTCACATCTGTTCTGTATTTTGACCCTGGGATGAGAATATTCATTCAGGCCAAAAGAGTTAAAACAAAATATCTGTGTTATTGCCTCTACAGACCCAGGTAATTCATCTTCCTTCATTTATCTTCATAGAGTTTTTAATTTATAAAATCAATATGTTCTCCTCTCCTAAACTGTCAAAGTGATTTGGTAGTACAATTTTTACAATTTGATAGTAAGATTTTTTACTGTAAATAAATTTCAAACTGCATTCTGGAACATTTGCTATATAGTAATCATGTATAACAAACATGTGGCTGTAATAGCAAAACACTGCAATGAATTCTCTAAGTTAGATAATCACCCCAAGTAAGAATTTGTTTTTTACGTTAGTGAATCTTAGGTGCTTTGCTTGTGATAGGTTCCAAGAAAAAAAAAATCACAGTTCAGTTATATTTTTTGTTTACTCAATATATTTAAGCTATCAAATCATGTATTGTATGTATATATATATATATATATATATCTTATGTATAGAATAAACATATTTATAAATACACATTTGATTCATTTATATTCATTTATATTTATAAAAGATAAATTTCTTTATATTTTACCATAGCTTTTTTATTACCACAATAAATCTAGTGAACATCTATTACCATACATAGCTACAGAATTTTTTTCTTGTGATAAGAACTTTTAAGATCTATTCTGTTAGCAACTTTCAAATATGCAGCTTAACTGTAATTATCATGCTGTACAATACATCCCCATGACTTAGTTATTTTATAACTGGAAGTTTGTTTCAGCATAAACTTTTATTAAGCTGACATTTGTGTATTATAAAAATTATCTTGACCAACTATACATGCAATCAGAATAGTTATTCTTTGTATGTGGGGTTTCTGGGCAGTCATTCATTTATTCACCAATCATTTATCAAAGTCTTTTGTGTGCTTGTACTTGAGGTTGTCCTAGGTATAAAGCATAAAAAAGATAAGGCTAGTTATAGTTTTGAGAATCTTAATAACAACTGGGAGAAACAATTAATGCTTGTCTATGTATGTATGCCTTTCTACATGCATTATTTCATCTGATTTTTACAGTGATCCTGTGAGTTATGTTTTATCATCACCATTTTAGAGATAAGGAAATGTCACAACTGGACAAAAGATCAAATCTTCTGGCCCCAAATTCTTTACCAATTCACAATCCATGATCCTCCCCCTCTACCACACTAACTCTTTATAATAGGCCTACACTTGTTATGCTGCCTTATTTCCATGATAAAATAGTTGCTGTCCTGGGGCCTTGCAATCACTCATATGAATATTAATATTAAAAATTATAAATCTCTTAATTGTATACCCTGACCACACACCAATGGATTCCTCAAAAACTTTTGATTTCTGATTATACTGCAGATCATATTTTGAAAAATGAAGTATGTCAAGCCTGAGGCTTTCTCTGTAAATATGCTGTTTATTCCCTAATTCATAGCAGTGATGTGTCCTTTTCATCAGTCTCATTCTTCTGGGAAGTATCAAGGGTCTTGTGGATCAATCAATAGTGCTGATCTTTTCAAATTAAATTATTTCTCTCTAAGTGTGTTTGGGTAAAAAATGGTTCAAGCCAATAGAAAATATGGATTTGTCTTATTTTCTGAGGGAATTATAGTAAATTGAATTTCATCTACCTAAATTACTTATCTCAAGTGAAGGCTGTTTCCCATTCTTGTATATCTTTTATTTACCTTTCAAAGTGATATTCTTATGTACAGATTACCAGGAAGTAGATATAATGTAAATATTTATTTTGTTCCATAAAAGATGTTTAAAGAGGTTTGAACCTTTGACAAGTTTTATATGGGGCTCTGAAAAATTGCTAAATCTGATATTTGGTATTGATGGTGTGGACAGATTACATTTTTCATGGCTTTATCCCTTAGGGTTACAAGACACTTTAGAGGGGTTTGATTGCTCACATACCTTCCTTCATTTGCAATATTTACTTGTGTTTAATTTTCCTCACAGGTTCTCTGGGGGTAAAAGTTTTGTGTGGAAAATATGGAGAGTTCCCCACCTCTTATGTCACCACTAGTGGGATAATCCTTACTTTATTTCTTTCCTAAAAGGCAATGTAGCTCTAATGGCTACATCAGGATAAATTAAGAGCTGGGAATGACTCCATTTGACAAAAGTAGAGGCATTTAAAAGGTATTAAAAATGATTAACTACTCTGTCCATTGACCACCCAGGCTCCAATAAACTTCTAGAAATGAACCTTGAAGTGTTATCTATAAGAACATATGACTATATTTCATGGTCAGTTATTTTTCTATATTTTTGTGGCAGAAAAAAGAAGACTAGATTTTAATCATGTTGCTGGACTTACAGTTGCTTTAGCTACTTTACTTCAATGGCTCTAACAAGTTCGGAAGAGGACTAGAGAGGAATTTTGGATGTCATGTATTGGTTTCCTTCCTTGATCATATTCTGTTCAGTATTTTTCTCAGTAACTTAGATAAAAGAACCATAATGTTTGTAATGATAGTTGACCTTGTACTAGGAGGAAGGTCTTATATCAGGCATAACAGAAACAAGAAGTCAAAGAGTTGAAGTTTAAAAGATAAATGTAATATAGATAGTGTACAGACCTGAATTTAGATTAAAAATTCTATTGTGTAAGTATAAACTTGACAGTGATTTACATGAAAAAAAGAAGCATACGTGTCATTTAAAAATTTATATTTTCGATTACAGTTGACATTGAATATTATATTAAGTTCAGGTGTACAGCATAGTGGTTAGACATTTACATAACTTATAAAGTGATGCTCCAATTAGTCTGTTCCCACATGGCACTCTACACAGTTATCACAATGCTATTGACTGTATTCCCTAAAAGCATAGATGTCATAATTGACCATAAGCATAGTATAAGCTGATAGTGTGACAGGGTTGTTAAAAATGTTTATGGAAATTAGTGAGCAGAACAAGATGGTGATAATATCAATAAACCCTATCCTGCTTATACCATGTCTAATGAGCTGTATCCAGATAGGGATGCTTTAAGAGAGACAGGGACTTACCAACTCACAGGAAATTCACTATCTGAACTGGTAGGGGGTCATGGATGGGATTGAGCGTCATTCCATGGAAGAGAGAAGACTTAGGGGCAAAGGGAAAATGTAATAGTTGGTATTGCAGAGGGAAGAACTTGGATAGCTGGATAGAAGTAGAAGATACAGCAAGCTCATCATGGGAGTGTTAGGCTGATTTTGCAAGGAGAAGACACACAGATTACCTTTTTCCACTGTTAATCAGGTGTTTAGTATAAGGATTTTCAGAGAAGTCAAGTAGCAGGGATCTATCACAGCTGCCTCACTATCTCATTTGACTCAGTGTTCCATGGATGGGATGTTCTGGAGAACTGAAACCACAGCTCAGTGTTGCTCAAAATACACTGGGCTCTACTGAGCTGTCTTTACTAGGCATATCTAGCACTTCTTCCTCTGAGAGTGGGTTTTCCATCATCAAATTCAAAACTTTTTGGTTGGACAGAATTTGAGAACAAGACGCATCAGAGGGGTTTGATTGCTCAGATAGCTTCCTTTGGTTGAATACCAGTTCCTCTCTTGTCCAGTTCCCAGATTTAATGTCCAGAGTACAAAATCCAGGGTGCCCAAGATGGCACATTTAGTTTCTCCAGACATATGTGGTCTGAGGTAGCAACTCAGAGTGGGTCATGAGTGTGTCATGAGATTAATGAAGTTCATGCTCTTCAGCAGTGGGAGGCCCTCCCATCCAAGATGAGGACAAATTTGCTCCTGGAAAAGGCTAGATTGTTGAAGGCATTATTACTTTAGGAAAAATTTCAGTTAGGTGATTTCTAAAGTCTCTTTTCAGCTTAAAGATGTTATAAGTCTGTAATTCTTAGAGTCTTAAATATTGTTTATCTCTACCATTCAGGCAAGTGAATATATGGCTGTGTTACTTGATCTTAGGCAACAGACATTACTGATTTTGTTTGGCTTTGAGTTGTTTAACTTTAGCGGAGACATAGCTCTCAGATTTATACAGACATTAAATTTCTGCACATTAGGACTAGAGATGAACATAAAATGGTGACTTTCTAAAGCTCTTGAAGGGGGACATAACTGAAGTGCCTGTTTGAAGATCACAATTTTTCATTAACACCACTTTGCCATATACCTATAGCACTGAAAGGGGTCCAATGACATGGAATTGGAGTCACCTTGCTTTTGTTGAAGCAGCATGGTCCTTTTTAAGTTATTCATGGACACTAAATTTATGATCTGTTGAATACTCTGCAACGTTGTGCTTCTGGGACAGTCTTTTCATCTTTTAGGGATGTCACCTAACTATATAGACTAATAATGGTTTATGTGTCTCTTTTATAAACTGTGAAATTTATATATCTCTTCATGAATTTGTATAATCTTAAAATAGTTAATCTTTCAATCTAGGGTAGTAGTTGAAAGCAAAATTTGGATCAGCCAAACCTGAATATGTGTTTTGATTTTGTCATTTAATAGTGTGGACCTTCGGCAATTGCTTAAGCTTGAAGCCTCTCCACACTGTGTTGGAAATTCCTCTGCCCTTTAGGGTTGTTATGAGGATCAAAATAAAAATGTTTTATTTTAGAAACAAACTCATAGTTACAGAGAAAAAACTGATGGAGGCCAGATGGGAGGGGGCTTTGGAGGCTGGGTGAAAAAGGTGAAAGGATTAAGAAGTACAAATTAGTAGTTACAAAATAGTCTTGGGGGCGTAAAGTATAGCATAAGGAATATGGTCAATGATATTGTAATAACTATGTATAGTGCCAGGTGAGTACTAGGCTAGTCAGGGGGATCACTTTGCAGGTTATATAAATGTTTAACCACTATGCTGTATACCTGAAATTAATATAAAATAATATTGAACGTCAACTATAATTGAAAAATAACAAAATGTTTTATTTTAAATATAAAAATGTGAAGCACAGTTCCTGACATGATTTTAAATAAACAGTAGTTGTTACTATACAAATGAATAATAGCAAGTGGATGGCATGACACCCTGTGCAAGGGAATGCCCTGTGGGCATTTGGGATT